AAATATATGTTGATAGCCTGATTTTGGACATACTGTAAAGGTTTTCTATATGATGTGGCTGTGGGTTTAAAGTTTAAACAAAATAAAAAATAAAAGTGAAAGATTTTCTCCCTAACTCTTTATTGTGAAAAATTTCAAACTTACCAAAAGGTTAAATAATAGTACAATAGGCCGGGCGCAGTGGCTCATGCCTGTAATCTCAGCACTTTGGGAGGCCAAGGCGGGAGGATCACGAGGCCAGGAGATTGAGACCATCCTGGCCAACATGGTTAAACCCTGTCTCTACTAAAAATACAAAAATTAGCTGGGTGTGTGGCGGGTTCCTGTAATCCCAGCTTCTCGGGAGGCTGCGGCACGATAATTGCTTGAACCCAGGAGGTGGAGGTTGCAGTGAGCTGACATCCCACCACCGCACTCCAGTCTGGCGGCAGAACTAGACTCCGTCTCAAAAACAAAACAAAACAAAACAAAACAAAAAAGAATAGTACAATAAATACTATATATCTTTCACCTAGATTCACAAAGTGTTAACATTTCCGACACCTTGAGTGCCTCCTCTCTCTTTTTATTTTTGTGGAACCACTTGAAAACATTTGCAGATATGACATTTCCACTCTCTAATACCTGGCATGTGTTTTCTAAAAATATACATTGTTTTATCTTTACAACACCACTATCACGCTTAAGAAAATAAAATGTAACACAGTATCACCTATTATACAGTTCATTGTTACATTTTCCCAATTACTCTCCAAATGTCTTTTATTCCTCTTTTTTATGTCTCTTCATCTACTATGGTCCTATTGCTTTTTTTGTATTTGATGACATTAACTGATGTTAGAGTACAGGTCAGTTAATTGTCTTGTGGTATGGTCCATATTCTGGATTTGTCTGAATGTTAACTCATAATTAAATTCGGGTGAAGTGTTTTGAACAAGAATACTACACAGATAATACTGTGTATTTATTATATCATATCAGACTGAACATACTGAAAGGTTTCTCCAATAATGGTGATGCTAAGTTTGCTAAGTTAGTTAAAGTGGTGCCGGCCAGATCTCTCCATTGTAAAGGTACACTGTTTAACTTTGGAACTAATAACCAATCTGTGGGTGATAATTTGAGATCATGGGTTTAGAATCCATTAATGACCTTATCTAAATCAATTATTATATTGAGTGTTTTAAAAATGGTGATTTTCGATTTTATCTTTCTTTCTATATTTACTAGCTGCTATTTTGTAAAGGAAAATTTTCCTTATCCCACCCTTTTCTTCCTTATTTTCTTCCTTCTTTCCTTTCTTCCTTCTGTCCTTCCTTTTTTCCTTATGTCTGCTTTTGGAGTATCATATATATATATGAAATGCTTCACGAATTTGCGTGTTATCCTTGCCCAGGGGCCATGCTAATCTCTGTATTGTTCCAATTGTAGTATGTGTGCCGCTGAAGCAAGCACATGGATTCTTTTTACCTAACATGTTATAATCCATTATTGTCATTATTCGTTTTAAAGCTCAATTGTTCCCAAATTTGGCTATTACTGAAAGATTCTGAAGTAAGTCAAAAGCATAAGTAAATCTGAGGCAGGATGGCAAAAGCTACAAAACAGCTACTTTTCCAGTATTGTACACATTTTTTTTCTTTTTTTGGTTAATCAGGCAACCCCCAAACCAGAATAGGTTCAGACAGACTCTTGTACACATTTATTGAGGGGTGTTATCCAAAACATTGAACAAACAGCAGCACATCACAGAAATTAACCAATCAGAATCTACACTAGCAGTAAAGAACTGGTAAATACTATGCACCGATTATTCTCTTCTTATTACTAACAGAAGCAAATTTTCAAGTTTCTTATGGGAATAATTTTATTTATACAAAATAACCTCAACTTTACTAATGTACTACTATAAAACAAAATTGAATCAAATAATATTCAATAACAGCATGCCGTTTAAATTTCTTAATCTGGGCCAGACACAGTGGCTCACGCCTGTAATCCCAGCACTTTGGGAGGCCAAGGTGAGAGGATCACTTGAGGCCTGGAGTTCGAGATCAGCCTGGCCAACATGGTGAAACCCTGTCTCTACTAAAAATACAAAAATTAGCCGGGCACGGTGGCACATGCCTGTAATACCAGCTACTTGGGAGGCTGAGGCAGGAGAATGGTTTGAATGGAGGTGGAGGTTGCAGTGAGCCGAGATCGCGTTGCTACACTCCAGCCTGGGAGACAGAGTGAGACTCCGTCTCGAAATAAATAAATAAATAAATAAATAAATAAATCTCTTAATCTGACTCACTGGTGCTAACACGTCACAAGTAAACATTTTAAGATAACTTCGCTTTCAGAAAATGTGAAACTGTCGATTCTAAACAAGTACCTTAATTTACTCTTACCTTTTCTATCAGAAAATGTTGGTCTTGTTCCCAAATAAAACTACCAATTTTTCTTCTTATTTCTGTGATGAGAAAAACAAATCCAATACTGTTTTTTTTTAAACCTTCCGAATTTTGCTTAAAGTCTGAAATTTCTAGGCCAGTGTTATTCTATTTTCAACAAAATCACATAACACACTTGTTAAAATGCAGATTCCTATTGAATCAGATCTTTGAGGAGGAGCTCTGGAATTTGCTTTTCTAAGAAACTCTCCAGATGATTCTAATACACTTTGCTAATCATTGTTGTAGACTTTTCCTGCTAGAATATATCTACATCTATATTTGTATCTCTATATACATTAGATGTGTGTATGTGTGTGTGTGTATATATATATCATTGAGGTATGTTCATCCACTCTTATATCTATATTTGTATCTACATATACATTAGATATATATCAGTATCTATATCTGTATCATTAGCTATACATTAGATGTATATATGTATACATATATAGATATACATCTGCATATATAGATATATCTATATATAATAATGCATATGTATCTATATAATGCATTAGATATATTAGATGTATATCTAATGTCTATATAACTATGGATATTGATACCTATATAGATATAAAAGAAGGGTGGATGAACAATATGTCTAGTTAATATGGTAGTACAGGAATTCTACAATGGTCCATATGTCAAAGGACAATGTCATCATCCAAACTCAATGATCTCAAAAGTTTTCACAGTAGCCAAAAGGACAAAAAAGGTGGTATTACTCTAGACTTTTGCTGTCCAGTATGGCAGCCACTAGCTACATGTAGGTACTGAGCACTGGAAATATGTGGTTAATCCAAAATGAGAGGTGCTGTGAGTATAAAATAAATACAGGATTTTGAAGACTTAGTATCAAAAAAAGAACGTAGGGTATCTCAATTTTTATAGATTATATATTGAAATGATAATATTTTAGATGTATTAGGTTAAATAAAATACATTCCTAAAATTAATTATACTCAGTTAATTATGTAATTAAGTTTTTTAGAGAAGGGGGTCTCACTATGTTACCTAGGCTGGAATGCAGTGGCTATTCACAGGGGTGATACTGGTGCACTGCAGCCTCAAATTCGAGGGTTCAAGGGATCGTCCCACCTCAGCCTCTAGAGTAACTGGGATTATAGGTGCATGCCACCTTACCCAGCTATTTTTTATTCTTATTAATGTGGCTACTAGAAAATGTAAAATTCATATGTGGCTCACATTTGCATCTCACGCTTCTACTAGACAATAGGCAGATTAAAAAAGGTATGCTTTTAATTTTTAAAAAGAAGCACGTTTTCATTTAAAACAGATTTTTGAAAATTTAAATACGTGTTAATATAAGATGCTAAACTCAAAGGCAGAATAGGAGTGATAGTTTAAAATCATGTAAGTAAATAGGAGTGATAAATTAAATCACAGCCATTCTACAAGATAAGCTCCTTGAAGGTGGGTATTCACTGATTGGCATAAGTAGTTTTTAAAATCAATTCCCCTATCCAGTCATTAATCAATTTGTGTAACCACTTAGAACAATTTAGTGTTATAAGTAGGTTTCACCAGGACATCGACTATGGAAGGAACCAAATCTCTGGGGTTTCTAATGGCTCTTTTATAGAAATAATTTTTAAGTTATTTGTTTTCTTTTCTTTTTAATACTCTCCTCACTGGGAATATGTACTCAGCTTCAATCTGTCTTTTTGAAGATGAACAGATATCTATTGGATAGGCAAGCTACATATCAAGAATTGGGTAATAATACAAAACCTATCAATGGGGTAAAGTTAGCCAAGGCCAGCTGCAGTGGCTCACGCCTGTATTCCAACCACTTTGGGGGGCTGAGGTGGGCAGATCACTTGAGGTCAGGAGTTCAAGACCAGCCCGGCCAACATGGTGAAACCCCATCTCTACTAAAAATATAAAAATTAGCCAGGTGTGGTGGTGGGTGCCTGTAGTCCCAGCTACTCAAGAGGCGGAGGCAGGAGAATCACTTGAACCCAGGAGGTGGAGGTTGCAGTGAGCTGAGATCACACCACCGCACTCCAGCTTGGACGACAGAGCAAGATTCCATCTCAAAATAATAATAATAATAATAATAATAAAGTTAGCTCAGAAAAAATAGGCAGGATTTGGGTAGGATAAGAAAGGGTGTTCCAAGCAGAGAAAACTAAAAGAACCAATCTCAGAAGCAGTTGATTTACTTCCCCATCGTATTTTCTAGGGGTGCTGAAAAAATTGATGTGAAAGTGCTTTCAAGTGTATTTTTAAAAATACAAATACATGGGTTTATTATCATACCCAATCTTTAAATATCAGAAGAAAAAATTAGGAAAATAATGAAGAAATTCAAAACTAGCAAAGAACACATCTATTAAATGCTCACCACATCAGACACCTTAAAACATTATCTTATTTTTAAAAATAATTGGAAATTATTAAAATAAATAAAGACAGGATCTCACCATGTTACCCTGTTGCCCAGGCTAGTCTTGAACTCCTGGGTTCAAGTGATCTGCTTGCCTCAGTTTCCCAAAGTGCTGGGATTACAGGCATGCCCTACCGCGCCAGGCCTATTATCTCATTTTATCCTCAAAACAACTTCAGAGAAGTAACTTGCTAAAAGATCACAAAACTAGTAAGCATTAGACTCTAGCCTGTGAAGGAAAGATCTGCGTCTGTCTGTCTCTCCATTGAATCCCCAGCACCTACCCAGGTTGCAACCTGGCACACAAGAAGAGCTCAATGAATATGAATAAACAATACCTAAACAAAGTCAGGATATACACTCAAGGCAAATTGATCCAAAGTCCATGCTTTTTCCACTTATGTTAAATAGATACAAAATTAAAAAATACGTGACTGAGAACAAAATAAGTACAGTTGAATTTGGCTGTTTCACAGAGATTAGCCGGATTTGACTGTCTGACAGGGATTGGCTGAATGATCTTTGCTAACCTTCATGCAGGCAAGCAGGAGGAAGAATGAAATGACCCAAAGCCACCGAGGTTTTTATTTTGGCATTAGCTACTGCAGAGAGATAGTAGGCATGAAAAACTGTAGCATTATCTTCTATGTAATCAAGGCTCTGATATATTCTAGGAGAAAGAAAGGAAATATTTTAGGTTATGAAACAAACAAGAATGTATTCAACCTTTCAAAAGAATAAATAAATAACTGGAAGTAGGGAGACGACTACATTGATGCATACATCTATGTGTCCTTTTCTGGCAAGGAAGGAAAAACGTATGGCATAAGATACTACTTTCTGGGGGCCTATATCTGGCACATCTCAGCTTTACAGGGTTGGTTAATGACCATATGAATTAGAAAACTTGATCTAAAACGGTCGTGTTTACTAGGCATCAACAGTGGATTGAGCTAGCGGCCTATGGGTCTTATCCATGGTCATTGCTATAAACAGGTATCAATTAATCCTGAAGTGAGGAGCGCTCATGCAGTCAGAAAAACCTTCACATACAGAAAGCAACATCTTTTCTACAGGTGGAGATAAGAAGAGCATTACAAGAAAAAGGCGTGCGTGAAGGCACAATAATGGCAGTTCGGGTTGACTGGGCTACGGAAGGCGTGAGAAAAACTGGGAAATAAACAAGGTTGGCACAGACCCGATCTAAATCTGTAGAAAATCGGTGGGTGGAGGGGGGAGTGGGGAAAGGAGGATGTGGTAGGGCCCTGATCTGATGTCTGGTTTGTAAACAAAATCTGCAGCCCTGCGAAGGGGGATCTCAGAGAACAGATTCGAGGCACAGTAACAGCTTAGGAAGTTATTTTGATAGTCCCGTCCAAAAGGGAATTAAGGTGCTACTAAGTTAGTGGCAGTGAGGATAAAGAACAATTACAGGGATCTAATTCATGGTATTCGGCCACTGACTGTTTCATGGCGTAGGGTTGTTATTCAAAATTTTGGAGAATACAGGCCTTGGCGCAGGTATGAAGGGATATAAGATTTGATTTAGACATTGAATATCAGGGGCCTTCAAGGCGCCACACGCAGGTGTAGAAGCGGCAGCTGGAAACACACTTGGAATTCAGGAAGAGGCCTGAGGACCAGGGAGAAGCCTGTGACACTGCAGCAGACAGGAAAGGTGGTTGTCTATTTCTTTCCCTCAAATCTCGGACTGAAAACTTGCCCTTTTCCAGCCTCACCCTATCGTCAATATTATTTTTTTTTAATTTTATTATCTTATTAATTTTTGAGATGGAATCTTGCTCTGTCACCCAGGCTGGAGTGCGATCTTGGCTCACTGCAACCTCTGCCTCCCGAGTTCAAGTAATTCTCCTGCTTCAGTCTCCCGAGCAGCTGGGATTATAGGTGTCCGCCACGGCGCCCCGCCTCATCAGTATTAGTGGGCTGCAACTTCCTTCCCTAACTCCCGGCTCATCCTAACGTAAGTGGCGCTGCCAGGTGGCCCTCAGTACCTCAGCGTGTCTGGGTGCGAGGCATCACAGCTGAACAAGAAGTCGGCGGCTCGCGGGTCACTGATCGTCCCCCCTTCAGCCACTGTGGAGGTAAGAGCACGGGGTGAACCTATCAAGCACCCTGGACCCAAAGCATCAGAGAGAGGAGGATGCTCCCCTCACCACCTAACCCGCTGCTTCCACTCAGCTTCCTACCCCAGAATTGCCTCAGATCCCGGCTAACGCTGCGGCAAAACCAACCGCGCTGCCCTTGAAACATGGCGTCGCCAAGCCTGCGCGGACGTGAGAGAGGAGGCCCCAGAGCTGAGATCCCTGATTGGTTCCAGGTCCAACGCCAAGCTCAATGATTGGTTCCCAAGAGAAACGGCCGGGAAAGGCCTGAGGCCCTCAGGTGAGGGACGGTCTCTGACTGCTTATCCGGATCACTTAGGGGCCTCTCAGCCTTGCCCTGATAAGAGGAGGAGAGCCACTCGAGTTGGTGAGGGTTTTTTGTTGTTTGGTTGACTTTGTTTTAAATTTTGAGGTGGCGAGCGTTAACCCTAAATATTAACAAAGTTACCATGCTGTGTATGTACAGGCATAGGGCAGAGTCTGCAGCATCAAGTATTATTTTTGAAGCAAAATTCATTTCATCATTTCATCTATAAACGTTTCACTTTGAATCCCTTAAAAGTGAGAACTTAAAAAACACACACACAACCGCGACACCATCATCACACTTAAAAGATAGTTCTTTAATATAGTCAAATATCACCAGTGTTCAAATTTCTGTTTTACTCAAAATTGTTTTCCTTTTACAGTTTTCCACCTCTTACAATAGTTGTGATAAGTAGTTATATTTTTCTAGTATTGTGTTCCTTTAAATATTAAAAAATTGTTTATATAAAGTTGTCCATAAAATCTTTTACTATCTTTTTAAATATCTGTGAGAGCTCTAGTCATGGTTCTTTTTTTTTCTTTTTGTTTTTCTTGTTTTTAAATTTTTCCTCCTACTTTAGTCACCTCTCTGACAAGTTTTTTTTCATTTCTCATTCTGGTTATTTGTGCCTTCCCTTTTTTTATTTCCTAGTCTCATTAGAACTTTGTCAATTGTATTAGTCTTTTCAAAGAACATACTTCTGGTTTTATTGATATTCTCTTTATATATTTCTTTTGTATATCATTAATTTTAGCTTTTTATAATTTCCTTCCATTTTTCTTTGTTTAAAATTGCTGTTCTTAGGCTGCTGGGCACAGTGGCTCATGCCTGTAATCCCAGCACTTTGGGAGGCCGAGGTGGGCGGATCACCTGAGGTCAGGAGTTCGAGACCAGCCTGGCCAACATGGTGAAACCCTGTCTCTACTAAAAATACAAAAAATAGCCATCTGTGGTGGCGCATGCCTGTAATCCCAGCTACTAGGGAGGCTGAGGCAGGAGAATTGCTTAAGCCCAGGAGGCAGAGGTCGCAGTGAGCTGAGATCACACCACTGCACTCCAGCCTGGGTGACAGAGCAACACTCCATCTCAAAAAAAAAAAAAAAAAAAATGCTGTTCTTTTTCTAATTTCTTGAACTGGATGATTGTTTTTCATCCTTTATTTTTCTAATATGTGCATATAAAGCTGTAAATTTCCTTTGAAATCTGTGCCACATGTTTTTGAGATGTCTTTTTATTATTGGTCAATTCAAAGTATTTTCAGATTTCCCATATGAGTGTTATGACTAGTGGATTATGCAAAATGTTTTTAAATCTCCAAGTACATATGATTTTCTAGTTATCTAGTTGTTATTGATTTCTGGAGTTTGAGACCAGCCTGGCAACATGGTGAAATGCTGTCTGTACTAAAAATATAAAAACTATTTGAGTGTGGTGACACATGCCTTTGGTCCCAGCTACTTGGGAGACTGAGGCAGGAGAATCACTTGAATCCAGGAGGTGGAGCTTTCAGTGAGCCGAGATTGTGCCACTGCACTACTACAGCCTGGGCGAGAGAGCAAGACTGTATCTCAAAAAAAAAAAAAAAAAAGGTGTTTTGTGTGATCTTTTCTCTTGAAGACCAGGAAGAGTTTATCTTTAAATGTCCCATTTTACTTCATGTGCCCTTCACACTTGTAAACTATTCTTCACCTTTTTTATCCTAATACATGCATAGTTACATTGATATATTTGTTTTTAGCCATAACAAGTTTCAATGTGCATTCTTGTCAATATTGTTTCCTTCAAAATCTATAAAGGCTAATGATTTTACTAGCTTATGACTTAAAGTTTACTGTTTCAGGAGAATTTTCCCAAATACTCAGTTGCCTCAAGTTTATTTCAGCAAAAATTTCTTGCAACATACTTTTAAATATTATCTCTTATTAGTTTATTCCATTGTTTCACTACTTTTTTCCTGGCAACTTTGTGAATAGTGCCTTTGCTAAACTTTGATTTCTACCACTTTTCTGTGATCTCTTTTTTCCTTATGTCATTTTCATTCTCCAGGTTGTTTTTCTACCTTTCTTCAATGCTAGTCATTATATTTTCATTTGAGTCTATTCTCTTTTGTGTCCTTGTGGTTCCCTTTTTCTTTAGGAGATAACTTTGTCTTTCTTTCATTTATCTGCCGGCTTCAATTAACTATATTTTCATTTCCTTATATTTTTGCCCATTTTTGTTCTTATTTTTTAGATACCTGACTCAATTGGCTTTTCATATCCACAAATGCTTATTTGAATAAATTTTATTCTATTTGAAGAGTTGGCTTAGAATTTTATTCTGATTCATAGTTATTTAATTTGGGGAGATTTGAATTAGTCAAAGTATATTGGATCTGATTGTTTTATTTGTTTATTAATGATTTACTTAAGTTACATGAACTTGAAAATTTCTTAGACTGATTTAAATAATTTATGAACACTCTTAGACTGATTTAAATAATTTTTACTTACTCCTGACCTCAAGTGTTCTGCCCTCCTCGGCCTCCCAAAGTGATGGAATTACAGGCGTGAGCCACCATGCCCAGCCTATCAGACCTTTCAAAAACAACATACAAAGGAAAACAATCATAAGGTGAGTAACAAAATTCAAAATACACTCTAATATACAGAGGATTTTATATCCAGCCAACTAACCTCTGAGTACCAGGACTACACAAGAAAGTATTAAAGATATAAGAACATATAAAATCATTTACCTACAAGCTTTTCTTGAAGAAACTACAGGATGAGCTTCATCCAAACAAATATTACTGGGAAATCCTCACTGATATGGAAATCTTATATACTGTGTAAGTTAAAAATAATGAAACTAAAAATGGGAGGAGAAGAGAGAGGGAAAGAAGAAAGTAGAATAAGTTAATTTTTTTTAACTATAGAAGCAATTAATACAGGACTTGTAGAAAAGGAAACAGCAATTATAATAAACATAGTTATAAAATATTGTGACACAGTTAAGGCCAAATCTATCAAAAGTCATATTTATCAATATGAATGGCTTAACTACCAAAAAAAGACCACTTTGAATCACAAAACACAGCCCAAATATTTGCAGAATATAAGAGACACAGCAAAAACAAAGTGATTAAGAAAGGTTAAAAATTTATGCATGGCCAGGTGCAGTGGCTCACACCTGTAATCCTAGCACTTTGGGAGGGTGAGGTGGGCAAATCACCTGAAGTCAGGAGTTCAAGACCAGCCTAGTCAACGTGGTGAAACCCCATTTCCACTTAAAAATATAGAAAGTAGCCAGGCGTGGTGGCGGGTGCTTGTAATTCCAGTTAGTCAGGAGGCTGAGGCAGGAGAATCGCTTGAAGCGGGCGGAGGTTTCAGTCACCCGAGATCGTGCCATTGTACTCCAGCCTGGGTGACAAGTGCAAGACTGTCCCAAAAAAAAAAAAAAAAAAAGCACAAAGGCATATTAAGCAAATGAAAACATTAAAAAAAAAGCAAGGTGTAGCGATCGCGATCCTTATGTAAATAGTATTCAGTACACAAAACATTAAGCAAGACAAAGAAAGCAAGCTTTTTTTTTTTTTGAGGAGGAGGAGTCTCGCTCTGTCGCCCAGGCTGGAGTGCAGTGGCGGTATCTCGGCTCTCACTGAAAGTTCCGCCTCCTGGGTTCACGCCATTCTTCTGTCTCAGCCTCTCGAGTAGCTGGGACTATAGTCACCCGCCGCCACCACAGCCGGCTAATTCTTTTGTATTTTTAATAGAGACGGGATTTCACCGCGTTAGCCAGGATGGTCTCCATCACCTGACCTTGTGATCCGCCCGCCTGGGCCTCTCAAAGTGCTGGGATTACAGGCGTGAGCCACCGCGCCCGGCGAAAGCAAGCTTTTAATGCTAAAACCCAATTCACGATGAAGATACACTACTTATGAATGTCTGCGTAAAACAAATCACATTCTGCGTAAACAGAAACCACAGAGGCACTAATGAGTAGTTAAGAAGGCTGTCATCATTGGGAACTTTAAAACACTAATCTCAATACAACACACATCAAGTGGACAAAATAACCAAGGATATAGAAAACCTAAACATCATAAAATCAATAAGGAAAATCGTAAGAATAAATATAAACATTACGCCCTTAGAGAGTATACTTTTTTTGGAGACACAGCCTCACTCTGTTGCCCGGGCTGGAGTGCAGAGGAACAATCTCAGCTCACTGCAACCTCCAACTCCCTGGTTCAAGCAATTCTCCTGCCTCAGCCTCCCAAGTAGCTGGGACTACAGGGGGGTGCCACTGCGCCCAGCTAATTTTTGTATTTTTAGTAGAGAAGGGGGTTTCACCATGTTGGCCAGGCTGGTCACGAATTCCTGACCTCGTAATCAGCCCACCTTGGTCTCCCAAAGTACTGGAATTACAGGCGTGAGCCACCACGCCCCGCCTAGAGAATATACTTTGTCAAGAACACATAGAATAGTCACAAGAAATTATCATATAATAGATCATAAAGACATATCTGCAAGTTCCATAAGTACAAATATTATTAACAACACTTTCTAGTTACAATTCAATGACACTGGAAATTATTAGCAAAGTCACAAACACAAAGACTCTTTCCCATGGAAATTTTTTAAAAATTGTTAACTATGGAATAAAAGTAAAAGTTAACTATGGAGTCAAAGGGGAAATGGAAAAATTCTAAAAACAGTGATAAAATATTACAGATCAGCATCCATGGGCTCATACAATGTAGAAATCAGAGGAAAATTCTTAGCACTGAGCACTCTATTGGACCATTTTCACATTGCTGATAAAGACATACCCAAGACTGGGAAGAAAAAGAGGTTTAGTTGGATTTATATTTCCATGTGGCTGGGGAGGCCTCAAAATCATGGTGGGAGGTGAAAGGCACTTCTTACATGGTAAGGGCAAGATGAAATGAGGAGGAAGCAAAAGCGGAAATCCCTGATAAACCCGTGGGATCTCCTGAGACTTACTCACTATCACAAGAGGAGAACGGGAAAGATCGGCCCCTATGATTCAATTACCTCCCCTTAGGCGGCTCCAACAACACGTGGGAATTCTGGGAGATACAATTCAAGTTGAGATTTCAATGGGGACACAGCCAAACTATGTCAAGCACATTTATTAGAAATGAAAGAATTCAATATATGATTTAATTTCACAGATGGAAAACACAGAAAAGTAATACAATAATAAAGTAATACAAAACAAACAAAAAGCCCAAGAAAAAAATAATAAAGATGAAAGGAGAAGCAATTGGATAGGGAATAGAAAAACAAGAGTGAAATGCAGACCTCAATAGAACCATATCAATAGTGCATTAAATGTAAATAGGTATATCACCCCAACGAAAAAGCATAGAAGACCAGACAGAATATAAAAGCAAGAAACGACTGAATTCTTGTCTATTAGGTACAAAATTTAAATATGATGACACAGATTGATGAAATTGAACAAGTAGGAAATAAAATACCATGCACATTATAAGCAAAAATTTCAATGTAAATATAGAACATCAAGACAAAAGGGACAAAGGACAGTTAATAATGTTAAAAGTGTCAATATATCAGTAATATGTAAAAATTATTGCCATACATGTGCCTAAAAACAGAAGTAGGATATAAAATATTTAACAACTAACGGGAGAAAAGAAACTCCAAAATCATAGTTGGAGATTTTAACACTAATCTTGCAGCAATTAATAGAAGAGGTGACAAAAAAAAAAAAAAAACACTTCAAAATAAATGATCTGATGAGTGTCATTAACTACTTTAATCAGAGTAATATTTATGAAAATCCTAAAAGTTGAGAATAAATATCCTTTCAAGTCCAAATGCAATATATTTACCAAGAATTTGCATATACTGGGTCATGAAACATGTCTCAATAAGCTTTAAAATTTAAAATTTTACAGAATATATTCCCTCACCAAAATTATCCTAATTTAGAAATTAACAGAGGTAAAACATCGAGATATTCCCCAACATCTGGAAGCTGAACAACTCACTTTGAAACAGCAGATTGCCCAAGGAACACATCACAACTAAAAACAAACTATTTTGAAATGGATGAAAATTAAAACACAGAGTATCAATATTTCTGAGAGGTATGGAAAACAGTGTAGATGAATCAATTTATGTATATGTTAGGAAATAAAGCAAAAACTCTATGTCAATGATACATTTAAACCTTAGGAAGCTAAGCAAAGCAAAAAGAGCAAATTTAGATGACAATAAGTAGGCAGAAAAAACATAGGTGACAGAAGAAATTGATGAAAACGAAAGCTAAAGAGCCATTGAGAGAAACAATTAAAACAAAAGGGTTTTTTTTTTTTTTTTATAATGAGCCCTAAAACTGGTAACACTTCAGCAAGTTACTAATATCTAGAATGAAAGGGAAGCTACTATTAAAATTCCAACAAAGGAATAGACAATTCCAACCTATTTTAAGTGACCAGCATAACTCCAGAAGTAAACAATATCCCTATGAACGTAGATGCTACATTTCTTAACAAAATATTGGGAAATCAAATGCAGCAATTTATTTTTTCTTTTTTGAGACACAGTCTCGCTGTGACACCCAGGCTGGAGTGCAGTGGCACGATCTCAGCTCACTGCAAGCTCCGCTTCCTGGTTTCACGCCATTGTCCTGCCTCAGCCTCCCGAGTAGCTGGGACTACAGGCACCTGCCACCATACCCGGCTAATTTTTTGTATTTTTAGAATAGACAAGGTTTCACCGTGTTAGCCAGGATGATCTCAATCTCCTGACCTCGTGATCTGCCTGCCTCGGCCTCCCAAAGTGCTGGGATTACAGGCGTGAGCCACCACACCTGGCCATTTACCAGTTCTTTACTGCCAGTGTAGACTGTGATTGGTTAATGCCTGTGATGTGCTGTTTGTTCAATGTTTTGAATAACACCCCTCTATAAATGTGTACAAGAGTCTGTCTGAACCTATTCTGGTTCGGGGGCTGCCTGATTAACCAAAAAAAGAAAAAAAAAGTGTACAATACTGGAAAAATAATTGTTTTGTAGCTTTTGCCATCCTGCCTCAGATTCACTTATGCTTTTGACTTACTTCAGAATCTTTAAGTAATAGCCAGATTGCAAACAATTGAGCATTAAAACTAATGACAATAATGGATTATAATATGTTAGGTAAAAAGAATCCATGTGCTTGCTTCAGCGGCACACATACTACAATTGGAACAATACAGAGATTAGCATGGCCCCTGCGCAAGGATGACATGCAAATTCATGAAGCATTCCATATACATATATGATATTCCAAAAGCAGACATAAGGAAAAAGGAAGGACAGAAGGAAGAAAGGAAAGAAGGAAGAAAATAAGGAAGAAAAAGGTGGGATAAGGAAAATTTTCCTTTACAAAATAGCAGCTAGTAAATATAGAAAGAAAGATAAAATCGAAAATCACCATTTTTAAAACACTCAATATAATAATTGATTTAGATAAGGTCATTAATGGATTCTAAACCCATGATCTCAAGTTGTCACCCCACAGATTGGTTATTAGTTCCAAAGTTAAACAGTGTACCTTTACAATGGAGAGATCTGGCCGGCACCACTTTAACTAACTTAGCAAACTTAGCATCACCAATATTGGAGAAACCTTTCAGTATGTTCAGTCTGATATGATATAATAAATACACAGTATTATCTGTGTAGTATTCTTGTTCAAAACACTTCACCCGAATTTAATTATGAGTTAACATTCAGACAAATCCAGAATATGGACCATACCACAAGACAATTAACTGACCTAGACTCTAACATCAGTTAATGTCATCAAATACAAAAAAAGCAATAGGACCATAGTAGATGAAGAGACATAAAAAAGAGGAATAAAAGACATTTGGAGAGCAATTGGGAAAATGTAACAATGAACTGTATAATAGGTGATATTGTGTTACATTTTATTTTCTTAAGCGTGATAGTGGCGTTGTAAAGATAAAACAATGTATATTTTTAGAAAACACATGCCAGGTATTAGAGAGTGGAAATGTCATATCTGCAAATGTTTTCAAGTGGTTCCACAAAAATAAAAAGAGAGAGGAGGCACTCAAGGTGTCGGAAATGTTAACACTTTGTGAATCTAGGTGAAAGATATATGGTATTTATTGTACTATTCTTTTTTGTTTTGTTTTGTTTTGTTTTGTTTTTGAGATGGAGTCTCGTTCTGCCGCCAGGCTGGAGTGCGGTGGTGGGATCTCAGCTCACTGCAACCTCCACCTCCTGGGTTCAAGCAATTATCATGCCGCAGCCTCCCGAGAAGCTGGGATTACAGGAACCTGCCACCACACCCAGCTAATTTTTGTATTTTTAGTAGAGACAGGGTTTAACCATGTTGGCCAGGATGGTCTCAATCTCCTGGCCTCGTGATCTGCCCACCTTGGCCTCCCAAAGTGCTGGGATTACAGGTGTGAGCCACTGCACCTGGTCTATTGTACTATTCTTTAACTTTTTGGTACGTTTGAAATTTTTCACAGCAAAGAGTTAGGGAGAAAATCTTTCACTTTTAAACTTTAAACCCACAGCCACATCATATAGAAAACCTTTACAGTATGTCCAAAATCAGGCTATCAACATATATTTTATATTTCTGTTATTAATTTGTTTTTTCTTCCCAAGGCATCATCATCTGAAAATAATAGTTCTTTCAGTTTTTTTGTCTAGGAGGTAACAGTATGTTGTACTAAAGACTGAAATATCTAATCCTTGACTTTTCACAGTGTTTCCAGGAACATGAGCAGTAATGCAATGGTTATTATTTGATGGTAATTATTGACTCTACCAGAACTTTAGAGTTTACAGATCACTAATTTCATCATTTAGCTTTATACATGAGAAAACTAAGGTAAAGAATATATAATGACCTGTTTTAGTACACGTTGGCAGATATTAGCAAAGTGGAGCCCAATTTTCTCAGCTCTAACCCAATCCAATGTTTTTTTCTACTAAAAAAGTACTAGAACATGCTTGTATGGATGTTGACTCTAGAAGTTATATTACTACATGATAAAAAAGTTTGTCAGTTCTTTCAAAATATTGCTTGATATGAGTATTAGCCCATTATAATCATGTAACCATAGCATATATAAGTGGAAGGTATTCATCGAATGGCAATAACAAGGGTAAATCTGGGGAGCATTATTATTGTTTGGAGTGGATTTAAGTTTTTATTTAAATATAGAAACTTCTTAATGGTGGCTGGGCACGGTGGCTTACACCTGTAATCCCAGCACTTTGGGAGGCTGAGGCGGGCTGATTGCCTGAGCTTGGTAGTTCGAACCAGCCTGGGCAACATGGCAAAACCCCATCTCTACTAAAAATACAAAAAATTAGCCGGATGTGGTGGCTGGCACCTGTAATCTCAACTATTCGGGAGACTGAGGCAGAGGAATTGCTTGAACTTGGGAGGCGGAGGTTGCAGTGAGCCGAGATCGTGCCACTGCACTCCAGCCTGGGCAACAGAGCAAGACTCTGTCTCAGAAAAAAAAAAAGAAAGAAAAAGAAAAGAAACTTCTTAATGGTATATAAAATAAATAGATTATGTGATAGGTACCAGTATCTAAGTTGCTTTCACAAAATATTTGGGAAAAGCTTAACATACATTTAGTTATTTTATATCTTTATAGCTAAATACTTCACTGTCCTTTTGAAGGAGAAATATAATTTGCTCAGCTTACTTTATATTTTTTATATGTAGCTCACAGGAAGCCCAGGAATCCTCAAATCAAGGATTTTAAGAAAGTTTAAATTAGTAGCAAGTTTTTTTGTTTCGTTATTTTTGTGACTAAAAAGTAATATAACCACATTAGAGGAAATTTCAATACTTGAAAGGAGAATAAAATCAGTCAAAGTTTTGCTTATCTGACATAATCACAGCAGGTATATTTAAAATGCTCATCTTCTTTATGGGTCTCTAAAAATATATAGTATAATTATATGTGTGTGTGGACAAAATTTTGTAAATTTTCTCCACCAAGCTAGATTTAATAGACTTAAATGTGTAAATATTTTATGACTTTTGATATATATATTGCCAGTTTATTTTTCCTTTTTAGAAACATTACTGATTGGATCATTGGTATGATGATTTTTTAAAATGTGATTTATTTTTCTATCCACAGCATGATGAAGTAACACCAAATGAAATAAAGACCCTTGGGGAAAACAGTGAACTTGCAACAGAGCACATAAAAGAATTATCCGAAAGGCACTGAATTCATAAACTTCACTGATACTCAATTCAGTGTAGACATCTGTGAGCACTGATTGTGTGCTTATCTCATTTAATTTTCAGTTTTCCTATGAGATTGATAGCATTATAATCATTTCCATTACACAAAAAAAGAGATCTATGATTAGAAAGATAAGCAATCTCCCCAAAGTCATACAAACATTTATTAAGTAGGGGAGAAGCAAGATTTGAAGTGAGTCAGAGCCCAGTCATTTAAATGTCAGTCATTAAATACAATACTACGTATTTACTATGTAGCATACTATACTATCTCATAGTATAGCACACTATACTGTCTCTGCAGAAAGGAAACAAGGACTTTATGTATGTTATGATAACAGTTAATAAATTATTTAAAAATTATATGCTTCTCTGTGTGAAAACCCAATCATCATGCTTATGAACTACAAAAGAATCTTAAAATATATTTTTTACTTGGAAGGAAATACACTACATATTAGCAGTAATTTTATTAGGATGAAAAGTGGCAAGTGATTTCCCCTCTTCTTTCCAAATTGCTTGTAATATATTACTTTGGTTTAAGAAATTAAATTTAGACTGGGTATTGTGGCGCATGCTTGTAATGTCAGCACTTAGGGAGGCTGAAGCCGGATGACCACTTGAGCCCAGGAATTTGAGACCAGTATGGGCAGCATGGGGATACCCCATCTCTATAAAAAATTTAAAATACTAGCTGGGCATAGTGGCACATACGTGTAGTCCCAGCTATTTGGAGGCTGAGGTGGGAGGATCACTTGATCCCAGGAGTAAGCCGTGATCACGCTACTGCACTCTAGCCTGGGAGGCAGAACAATACTCTGTCTCAAAGAGAAACAAGAAATTAATTTAAAAAGACAAACAAACATGGCCTTGTCCTTATATTAGGACCAATTTATGAGAGGCCTTCTCATTGCAGGCTTATACATGATCTAGTTCTAGTTCCATGGTTTCCAATTCAGTTGCTTTTCAAATATTCATAGGGAACATTGATTCTTCAGAAGTATATGTTTTATCCTCCAAATCTGTGGCCGGAGTCAACCTAAAAGTGGAGGCAGGGGAGTCTCCACAAGGGAGTGCCCCAGACTGTCCCAAGTTGTGGTCAGTTGGGATTCTAAAGAAAGAACCACTAAGTAGAGTAATCAGTCTAAAGCATTTATTGAGGGAACTTGCAGATTACTGCACCAATCCTTGCAATGGACAAGATAAAAGGGGTATTCTACCTAGGTATATCCACAGTGAGGGGTTCTGGTATGGAGTTTGTATGAGGGTTTAAGGAATCTGGCTCAGGGCTGAGGCCAGTTTCTTTCAGTGTTTTGAGCAGCAACCTAGATACTTTTATCAGTACCTGGAAATGTTTAAGGTCCTGGTTTGAGTTCAAGCCCACTGGGAGAACCCTGCACTGGGCTGTCTCACAGAGCAGTCAAAGCACTCCGTGATTTTTGATCAGGACATGGAAAGAAAGCCAGGAGTAGAATTGGGGGAGGAGAAGATGGGACTGGGGTACCCTGCAGTCTGGTATTTAGCTGCTGTAACAAAAATGATCAAATAGTAGTTATCATTCTTCAAAATAAAAAGTAATGTTGTAATTTACATAATTTTTTCAAGTTTTTCTTCCATAAGGGCTAATTTCCTTAATATACAAAGAGGTATTACAAATCTGGGAAAAATACGACCAATCCAAAAACAACAAAAATGGACAAAGGATAAGAATAAACCCTACGTAGGTGTCTACTTTGAGCCTTTTCTTTGTGGAAACAGCAGAGGGTGCAGTGTGAACATAGATAAAATATACCCTCAATTTACCTGCTGGAGCATTTGTTAGCATACTACTAGGGACATTGATTTTTTTTTACATCATACAAACTTGATGTACAAAAAATTAGGCAGTACAGAATTAGTATAAAATCCCAATTTCTCCCAAATCCTCTCCCAGTAATAACCTTCATTTTTTGTTTTTTGTTTTTGATTGAGAAAAAATCTTACTCTGTTGCCCAGGCTGGAGTGCAGTGGTGTGATCTCGGCTCACTGCAACCTCTGCCTACCGGGTTCAAGCAATTCTCGTGTCTTGGCCTCCCGAGCAGTGGGGACTACAGGCACATGCCACCCCACCACACCAGCTAATTGTTTGTGTTTTTAGTAAAGATACGGTTTTGCCACGTTGCCCAGGCTGGTCTCAAATTCCTGGCCTCCAGTGATCCACCTGCTTCAGCCTCCCAAAGTGCTGGGATTACAGGCATAAAGCACCCGTGCCTGGCTGAAAAATCTTATTTGATATTATGATGTATAATGGCAGCATATGACATTTCATTTTGTTTGTTTAACTTTTTTTTTTTTTTTTTTGAGACAAGAGCTCACTCTGACCCCCGGGGCTGGAGCTCACTGGCATGATTTTAGTTCACTGCAGCCTCAACCTCCCAGGCTGAAGCAAGAGATCCTCCCTCCTCAGCCTCCTAAAATGCCACTAGGATTACAGGCATGAGCCACCACACCTGGCCTACAATTTGTTACTTTTATGACACCTCCATGAACATCTTTTTAAAAATAAATCTTGCTCTATTTTTTTGATAGTTTTCTTCACGTAAATTCTCAGATGTGGAAATTATGGTATAAAGAGTTTTTTTTCTTAAACACCTTATGTATATTTATTTACTTAATTTTGTGTGTGTGTGTGTGTGTGTGTGTCAGTCAAGATCTTGCTGTGTCACCCAAGCTGCAGTGAGGTAGCATGATCATAGCTCATTGCAACCTGGAACTCCTGGGCTCAAGCCATCCTCCCACCTCAGCCTCCTGAGTAGCTAGGACCGCAGATGTGTGCCACCACGCCTGGCTAATTAAAAAAAATAATTTTTTTTTTGAGACAGCGTCTCACTCTGTCACCCAGACTGGAGTACAGTGGTACAATCTTGGCTCACTGTAACCTCTCAACCTCTCCTCCTGGGTTCAAGCTATTTTCGTGCCTCAACCTCCTGAGTAGCTGGGAATACAGGTGTGTACCACCACGCCTGACCAATTTTTTTTGGTATTTTTAATAGAAACGTGTTTCTGCCATGTTGACCAGGCTGGTCTCAAACTCCTGACCTCAAGCAATCCACCCTCTTAGGCCTCCCAAAGTGGTAGGATTACATGTGTGCCAACTCGCCCGGACTAATTAAATTTTTTTTTGTCAAGATGGCATCTCACTATGTTGCTGAGGCTGGTCTTGAACTTCTGGGCCCAGGGTATTTATTAATTAGCATAGCAGCAGGTCAGGCATGGTGGCTTACATCTGTAATCCCAGCACTTTAGAAGGCTGAGGCATGAGGATAGCTTGAGGCCAGGAGTTCAAGACCCGTCTGAGCAACAGAGAGCGACCCAGTCTCTACGAAACATAAAACAAAATTAACTGGGTGTGTAGTGGTGTACTCCTGTAGTCCTAGCTACTTAGGAGGCTGGGGCAGGAGGATTGCTTAAGCCTAGGAGTTGAGGTTTGCAGTGAGCAATCTGTGGTCATTCCACTGTGCTTCAACCAAGGTAAAGAGTGAGGCCATGTATCAAGAAAAAAAAAAAAAAAATAGTAGTATATATCTGTTTCTTAGAATATGGAGCTGGAGGGTATTCTTTCATACTGAAAATAAACTACATAATATTATACAGTATGTTCAAATGCATGTACTAAAGAACTCTCCAAAATTTTAATCAAAATCTACGTTTAGTTTGTTAAGTAATTTCTTGAGAGAACCACTGAGAGATAGTGTCCTTGTGATGAAATGATAAATCTCTTCAGGGTTAAGTCTTATAAAGGAAATTTTGATTATGTTGATCCAAGTAATGCAGTGGTGGCACACTGGTTAAAGGCAAAATTTTACTTTTAATTTCCCTAAATGCTGTCTCACTTGTGTCAGGAGGGATTGGGAATACTCAAAGTGATCTTCCAGAGAATTTCTGCCATAAGAGTGTGTGCCCTCATTAGGAATGGCTCTCTCATTATCTGTCCGTGATTGGAGGGCTGCTTTCTCTGATAAAACCTTTATATCTCCTGGTAAAGAGGAAGATGTAGTATAACAAAGAGCTTTGCCATTTGGTGAGAGAAGGGGATGTCTTGTGTATGTTGCAGTAAAATTCATCATGTGCAGTTTTGTGCCATCTTTCCAAGGGTCTTCAATGCATCCTACTGAGGTGCAGGCTGTCTTGATTGAAGTTGGGGTTTTCAGTTTTCTTAATAGTTCAGCTAGCACTTGAGTCACCAGATATAAACTAGACATTTATCTCCTCAGTTGCCAGTATGCATTCTACGTATTATCAGTTGAAGGTCTTACTCTTCAGAGATCTCTGCTCTTCAGATTGTCTTCCTGATACAGAAATTTGTTTGGTTTTTGAGTGGTTCTATTTTGAGATCATTACATTGTTTCCTCATCAACTCTTGTTCCAAACCATGGATCTTCAGGTCACAGCTTAACTTTTCCACCTCCCAGTTTGATGAAGGTAGATGGAAATTCCTCATCACCAGCTGAGTTTCCACCTCTGTCCTTAGCTAGAGTTCTACTTCTTTAGATTGCATCTGTTCATCCAATACTTTTAAAGATTCAGAGTTGTGTTTACTCATTTTATCCGATTTGTTCTCTAAATTATCTCTATCAATGCAAATGTTTCAATATACATAATAGGCCTTATTTACTTGTTGCTATTCCACAAAACTTGTTTCTTCATCTAATTGAGCTCCTGTAAGCTTTTCTTCCAAAAATCTAATTCTTTTTTTTAACATAAGTCTTCTCTTTCTCTGAATCCTTAAGTCCCTTTTTGATGTCTTCATATGGGCAAAATGGGAAGCAACAGAAGCATCTCCTCAATATGTTGAAACTGGAGTTGCTGGGGTTTTTTCACAAGGTAGCATACAGGTATCACCTTCTATGAGTGCATCCATGAGAGCCTGAAACCAGGCTACTTAGGGCCGCCACCGAGTTTCCATTCCCTAATGTTTAGAAACAGCCCCAAACAGATCGAGTTGCCAGGGATCATCACGGGTTCCGATTTCCTTGAAGATACCTCCACTTTACCAGCGAAAGCAGCCACTCTGAGTTATTGAATTGAGGGTATTGGTCTTATATCTACCCATTTGGAATTCCTTAAGATTCTAAGGATATTTTAATCGATTCTCTTGGCTCTTCAGGGTGCATAGTCATATCATTTGTTAATAATGAAAGTATTCGGGCCGGGCGCAATGGCTCACGCCTGTAATCCCAGCACTGTGGGAGGCTGAGGCAGGCGGATCACAAGGTCAGGATATTGAGACCATCCTGGCTAACACAATGAAACCCTGTCTCTACTAGAAATA